GTTTCTGAGTGATAGTTTTCAGCTTCATAGTGAGTAATGAGGTTGGTTAGTGTAACGCTCGTAGATCCGGGGTAATCAATTTAGAGGCAATAAGTGTCGAAAATGACTTTTTGGCAAAATATTATTTAGAATAAATAATCTTAACCAAGTTGTAGTATATGTTATAAGGTTTTTCGTACATATAAAGACCGCCAAAATCCGAGTTATAACAAAGAAGTTATGACCCGTCGAAGTTTCGCGATGGAACCAGCACGATACCGGGAAACGTAAATAGTGAATTACGATAGAGAGAGATTTAGCCTTAGCAATCTAAAAGAAAGTCGTAGAATACGTTAAACCGAAAGCGTCCATAAAAAGAACGCCCAAATCTGACTTTGTATGAGGAATTTATGATTTTTCGAAGTTTCGGATTAGCAGTGTACAGCCTGAAATTCGAATATTATATCGAGCGGTTTTTAGCCAGCACAACTTAAACGAGAATCGAAGATCTCGTTATTAGTAGCGTAACGATAAAAAGACAAACAAAAATGAACATCGGATGAAGAAGTTATGAGATTTTAACGGACCAATCATGTCCCGGCCTGTTAAAAACATAACTTTAAATATAAAGTCAAAATTAGCCGACGGAGTCTAAACGAAAGTTGTAAAGTACGTCTCCACCTACGCGTTGATATAAATAACGTCAAAAACGGAGTTCGTATGAACGAGTTATAAATTATAATAGCATATTTACGTATTAAAATAAAGTATAAATCATATATACGTACACACACACACACATATATATATATATCATTAGAAATGTATCGACAATGCGGTCATTATAGTACAAATATCGTTAAATCTATTTAAAATAGTATTATAAAGGGGTGTTTAGTTGTTTATATAACTAAAAGGTCATTAAGTAATTATGGAAAATAGTTTTTTTAAATTTAATTAGTATAAATAAAAGCTTTGGGCTCTCATATTTTTTGCACCATTCTCTTGATTCAAGAGTCTTTCTCTCCTTATCCCCCGAGCATTTCGGTCTCTCATGATTCGACTTCTCTTTCTATAGTTTTAGTATAGTAAAGTGAGCGCTAAAGCGCTACACGAATCTTTTTTAGAAAGATTCAGCAATGAAGTTCTGCCCCTGCAGAGCCCGACTCCTAGCTAAAATCCCCTTGTAAGTAAGTTATGTTTACCCTATTTTAAATATAGTTTATATTTAAAATTAATATTGTTATTATAAATTTATAATAAATATTTGAGTTATTATTATGACTTATATAAATGTCGTTATAATATTTTTTTAACTACTCGCGGTACGGGGAATCTGGTTTAAAGGGCTGCATAAGGTTGTTGGATTTCAGAAATGTTATACGCCAAAATGGCCTCTGTCTGTACATAGTGGTTGGAAAGTATTGTTTAAACACTTATATAATAATAATAATAATAATAATAATAATAATAATAATAATAATAATAATAAAACTAATAATTAGTCACGGTAAATATTAGACTAAAATCTAGTGGTAATAATACTAGGTTTCGTCAAAAGAAATTATTTTAAAGTAAACGAAGCGTTGTCCGAGTACCGAGTCACCACCTTCTCAGGTGAGTGCATAGTTACTTTCATCTTACACATATATATGAAGTATTTTATATAATCTACGTTCTATGTGTGCATATTATCTGAATACTTGATGTCTATGCTGGATGAACGTTTTTTTATATACATGTTTTAAATGATTTGAACTGTATACGTATTTTAAATATACAAGTATGTTGGGTATGAGATGGGTAGATGAATGATGAGAGATAAAAGATGATGTGAATAAACATTGGCAGCTATAGACTTAGTGCCTAACAAATAACATCGGTAGCTATGGACTTAGTGCCTATTGGACAAACACTGGTAGCTATGGACGTAGTACCTATTAGATAAACACTGGTAGCTATGGATTTAGTACCCAGCATCTATTGAATTAGTTCTTTACGAACGAGTATTGGTAGCTATGGATTTAGTGCCGGTCCTATAACTCTGGAAGCAAAGGACTTCAATATGAACGAATGCGTGATAAATGACTCTTAGGATAGATCTTTAAGAGTAAAGAAGATAATGGAGATGGGTAATTGGGTCGATTGTTAGATTGTTTAAACATAATAATTATATTATTGTGGGTTGAAAACCCTATGTACTCACCAGGTTTCCCAAACTGACTCACTCAGTTTATTTATATTACAGGTATTGAGATGAAGTCACATTACACTAAGAGATTAAAGAGATGTAGATCACTAGTGTAAATAAATGTAAGTTGTGTTTATGTTTATGTTACTGTATTGACGATGACATCCCAAATGTTTTAAAATGAATTAAAAATACTTTTCTTCGGAAATGCTTTGATTACGTATTTATCATATTTTACTGGGAACAAATTCAGAAACATTTTTATTAAAAGAGATACTCTAATTTTTATAAAGCATAAACAAAATCGGTTTTTTCTGACCATGAAAATAGGGATGTCACAGTTAGGATGGTTTCCATTTGTTGGGGTTTCATTTTGTTTTGTAAGTTGTATCAAGTTGTATCATGTCGTAGAACATAATATTATATTAATGAAGACATATTCGACATACAGGAGGCCTTTGGATCCAAGAAGCCTGACACATTCATTTTTGCACCAATCTCTAAAGTCCATTGCCTTTACAAAAACACAAGTTAATAATTAATGTTATAGAAAGAACTGTAAGGAGGATGATATATACAAAGCAAATTGATATTCCTTTAAGTGAATGAAGTTTACCTGAATGTTTAGCCGTCACATCTCTTCCCTTTCAATGAAGGAGATGATGAAAGAGAAGCTTCAACAGCTCTTCCACCCCCAGACTTTTGTTGACTCATAGTGGCTCCTTTTCCACGAGTGTTTTTAGGCCAACTCCCTTGATTTGCAAATTGAGGAAAATCATCCCTATATCACAACCACAAACACACTTCCATAAAATATAAATCATAAAATAAAAACACATATACAATAAAAGAAACATACTATTTTGCTTCTTGTTTCGGGTGGTCCAAAGGACCCCAAAAAAGATCATCATCAATTTTGATTTTGATTGAGAAGAAGCACCAATCCCACTATGTGTGTACTTATTCTTCCTCTGGCAACTTTCAGTATCACATATTATCCAAAGAAGTTGGAAATTTCGTCAAAGTACATGACAACGCATTCTTCTAAACCAATCTGATGTCTGCCCTAAAGCATGTTCAACATGAAATATGAAAAAGACGATTATACCCTTAACACAATAACATACAAATAACACAAAACCCAAGAAGGAAAATGTGAATTTGAAAAGTACCATTCGAAGGTCATGCCTTCTATCCTCCCCTGCTATATCATCTCACGTGCAATTATACCAATAATCTCCATAAATTGTTAGATCATTTTTAGGATTACATGAAGGTCTACCCAAATTAGAAGTTGCAAATTAGAAGTTGCAGGGTGTTCACCTAACTAAAAGAAAATAATAAGTAATAAAGAAATTTATATTAAAAAAAAAAAGTGAATAAATTTCAAGATTCTTGTTTGATTAAACTCACTCCCTTTTCCTTTTTTCACATGACATGTTAACATTTCAAATATAATATGTTCAAAAATAAAGGAAAATAATAAAGTTAAAATCAAAAATAGATTCAAACAAAACTGAGGTGAACTACAGTTCACTAATTTACAGTTCACTAATTTTCTCAAAATGAAAAATGATATTTAATATTTTCAATGAAATCCAAAAAAATAAAACAAAGCAAAAAAGAGTAATACATTTTCAAATAATTTTCTCTAATAAAAAAAGACAATACATTTCCAAGTAGATTTGGTTGTGAATTCCGAGGAACAAATAAAAATGATAATACATATTTAGGAAGAAAAACATGATGTATCTTGCCAAATGTGTGATGATGCCCACTTCAATCATTTTTTCTAAATCGTATGTTGTGAAAAAAAATATATTATCAGTTTATTTTTAAAAAACTTGTACTTTTGAGAAAAAAATTCAAAAAAAAAACACATTTGTTATTGTTCCTATTCCACAAAATGTCCTCTTTTCTTATCTACCAGTCAAGGTCTTTCAAACTAGGATGAACCTCAACCAGTTACTTTACCTTGAATTGGGAGCTCAAAATATATAGCCTGTAATCATATAATAACATTATAATTAATAAACTTATTAAACTTTATTGAAAAATTTGCTATGCATATGTTAAAATTTTGATACCTTTCCTTTATGAACAAAAAAAAATAATGAAAGATGTGAAACACGTCCAATTGAATTATGTAAAGTAAAAAGTAAAAACGAAACAAATAAGTATTCAACCGATGTGGAAAAATGCTCAAAATAACAGTGAGTTGAAGAAGGAGAACTAAACTTACTACCCATGTTAAAAGAAGGCTGACTTGTGCCCTTTCCTTCCCAGCATTCACCAACTAACAAAAAAGAAAGTAAAGATTTTGTAATTATTAAATTACAAAATGTATACATTTTGATAGTGGGTTCTTGAATTTAATACCGTATAAACAAAAACCGAAGTGGGAAAGCTACTATCTCTATAATTATGAGGCAAAAACGGTGATATTTGGCGACATGAAACTTAATTGTCCATGCACGTTGGAACAATGCATGATATGTAGAATGTTGACCACCCAAATTTCAGCCTCATGATGATAAACCATGATCTGTACATTTTCTGAAATATAAACAAACAAATATATTATTACTTATGAAGGAAAATATGTTAGACACAAGAAAAGAGCAAAAGGGTTTTAAGAGTTGAAATTTATCCCCTTACCTTATCCCTTCGTGTTGACCATAAGATAAAAATGATGCATATTTTTGCAGCCACCTTCTCTCGATATAAAAATTTGTAGTTAAGTTATATATAAATGATAGTTTAAAACTAAAAGAATCCAACTTGATGACCTTTGAATAAACAAATAACATCTAAAAGCCACTTTCTTGGGTTCAAAAGATGGAAACAAATAGATATACGTGCAGTAGCTGGAGAAGAATTGTTTCTATAGACTCCCCCGTTCTCTTTGTTAGCCTATTTTCGAAATTAGGGTAAAACATCAAAAGAAAATGTGGGAAAACTTAAAAGTTATTGAAAATTATGACAGAGCTGAATTGACTCGTTAATGGTCAAAATATGAATCAGGAGCCCAGTGGAATTGATATGTGTAACGTAAATAAAACTTCATATTCTTCTACAATTCCAAATTCAGGAAACAATTCTTCACATCTGATAAGAAATGCCACCGATAGTTAAAAACAAAGTCCTTTATTTTGTTATATTCTTTGTTTGTTTTCTTCTTCAATCTCTATTTTTCCTCTTTAATTATAAAAGCTCGACTTGTACAACCTAAATTTCCTGTAAGAAATAATTACGACAACAAACTTGAAAAACTCCAACCAACACTGTAAGAAATATATTGTTAAAGCATAAAATTCAACCAAACATTAGACAACTGAATTTAGAGTAGGTATAGCTTACATTAGGTTTATATGATTTGTACGAAGGAAAGAAAAAGGAATTGCCGAGCAAAAATACATACATATATCATTATTAAGTTTGTACAACCACATGGTGAACAAACCGATTTGTAGGGTTCAGAAAGGAGTAGTAGATCACCATGGCCACTCCGACCCACCACCACCGTCGATCAACACCACCAGCACAGTCAACCATGCCTCTGTACCGAAATGTTAATTTCTTAGCTTTCTTGGAGGCTTGTGGTTTTAATTCTGACTTTGGTCAAAAGTGGGTATTTGAGTCAAGTATTTTAGTATTTTAGTTTGTTTTATTGAGATACTTAGTCATAGGAGTGTCCTATTTTATAGGAATAGTGGCTAGGTTTTAGATTGAGTTTGTTTATTGACGTGGGATGTTTTGTAGGCTATTTAAAGTCTTTTGTTCTCAGAGGTTAATGTGAGCAACTTTTGTGTGAAAACAAAGTCTCCATTTTTTTTGGTGTACAGCAACAACAAGGAACAACTCTTAGTTTTCTTTCTTATTTGTTTAGAAGGTTGCAGGGGCTGTTCCAACAATTGGTATCAGAGCTAACCAGGGAGGTAGGTTCTGATGAAACCTGTGGTGAATGGTTGGCGTTTGTGGATCCATTTGTATGAAGATCGTGGGATCATGAAGATGTTCTATGTGAACCATAATGTCCAGAGAAAGTAGAAGCTCTGTGTGAGCCGAACAAAGTTATGTGTGAGCTGAATTCAAAATCAGAAATCTGTGTGATGAAAACTGGATCTGTGTGACGTGTGATTGTGTTTTTTTTAGATTAATTTGTGTGAGAGAGAGGCTGTGTGCTGAACGAGTACAACCAAGAAAAAATGTGTGATTGAGTGTTGTGAGAGTTGAAGGAAAGTTGTGTACTGAATCCATGTTCTCGGTGAACCAAGAAGAAAAGGAACCTGTGTGGTGAAGCTAACCTGTGTAGAGAAGCAAGTCAACATGAGAAAGAAAAAAAAGGATTCGTGTGATCAGAAGAGAACTCTGTACACCTACAAGTATGTGGGTTGATCAAGAAAGGAAGAAGATGTGAGATAACTCAGATCTGTGTGATCTATAATGGTTGAGGTTTTTTGCAGAAGGAGGTACTGGTGAAGAATCCAATGGAGATGAAACTTGGCTGAAGAAAGAAGAAAAGGCGAAGAAGAAAACTGCCAGGGTGCTGGTTGGTAGAGGTTGTTCTAACTGTTGAAAAGATGATGCGTAATTGTGAAGGAGATGGTGCAGGAAATAACTCTAGATCGAGATTGCTAGGGGAATGAACAAGTCAGAATTATGGGGGTGATTGTTGGTTTTAATTCTGACTTTGGTCAAAAGTGGGTATTTGAGTCAAGTATTTTAGTATTTTTAGTTTGTTTTATTGAGATACTTAGTCATAGGAGTGTCCTATTTTATAGGAGTAGTGGCTAGGTTTTAGATTGAGTTTGTTTATTGACGTGGGATGTTTTGTAGGCTATTTAAAGTCTTTTGTTCTCAGAGGTTAATGTGAGCAACTTTTGTGTGAAAACAAAGTCTCCATTTTTTTTGGTGTACAGCAACAACAGGGAACAACTCTTAGTTTTCTTTCTTATTTGTTTAGAAGGTTGCAGGGGCTGTTCCAACAATAATTGTTGGATTTAATCGGTTGTTTAAGGGTAATTTGATCCATAATTTTCTTTATGCAGAATTTGAATAAGGAAATGTGGGATAAGTTTAATTAACTGATTTTTAATGGGCATGTTGGGTATAAAAATATGGGTCGATCCTTGTACCGGTTCTTTAGGTGGTAGTGGGTTAGTAGATAGCATTTTATTCCTTGTTTTATGTTGCCACGTTTGTTTTATCTGTTGCTAGTTTGTAAGCCTATATAAGGCACATCTTTGATTTAATTAAAATACCAAGAAAAGCACCTTCAGTGCATAACGTAAGTTCTGAGTGTGTGTAATTGTGTGTGTTTTCTGAGGGGCCTGAACCAACAATTGGTATCAGAGCTTAGGGCTCGTGAAGAGGAAGAAGGCCGTTTTGAGAGTCGAATTCCGAAGGGGAAGAGCCTTCGGGTGCAGAGCTGCCATCACAGCAAAAGTCGGGTGTTTGGCAATGGCATCTTGGAGGTTCGATCCCGGAGATGACAGCAGATGGTTGTTAAGGATGCTTTCTCAATAGAGGCGTGAATAGGGTCAAGACTGCATAAGTGCAATGTCCATCCTTGATCAGAAACGTTCTAGGTTAAAGAGAGCCTGACCAGAAGCGGGTAAGAGAAGCGGAAAGAAATCAGAACATGTGGGTTTTGATTTGGCTTGCTCACAGTAGGTAAAAGAAAACAGAAGAAGCAGGAGCTTGGTTTTCTTGACTGTTGGAAGACGACTCTCCATAGGAACGGGTTAGATCGGAAAAGGTTGGGACTATCACATACAAGACAAAGTGATGATTCCGGCGGTAGGTTTTGGATATGTCACTGGAAAATGGAGAGAGTTACCGAAGTTGCGGGAGAAAACGAAAAGAAAAGATCCGTCAAAGCAGGTGGCTTTGGGTTTGTTTCGTTTTGTAGGTGAAAGAAGACGGGAAAAGCGGGTTGCTTTGTTTTCTTGATCGGTGGAAGACAGCTCTCGTTTCACAGAATTGTTAGGTGAAAACGGATTCTGTGTGGTGACAAACAACAGCCGGGTGTGGAAAACTTTGGACGTGACCGAGGTGAAGGTCGGGTGTCCGGAAAAGGTCGGGAGTTGGTGATGACTTTGGATGTGACTGAGGTGGAGGTTGGGTATCCGGAAAAGGTCAACAATCAAGATAACAAATGGTGTGAACAACCGATTAAGGGGGTGATTGTTGGATTTAATCGGTTGTTTAAGGGTAATTTGATCCATAATTTTCTTAATGCAGAATTTGAATAAGGAAATGTGGGATAAGTTTAATTAACTGATTTTTAATGGGCATGTTGGGTATAAAAATATAGGTCAATCCTTGTACCGGTTCTTTAGGTGGTAGTGGGTTAGTAGATAGCATTTTATTCCTTGTTTTATGTTGCCACGTTTGTTTTATCTGTTGCTAGTTTGTAAGCCTATATAAGGCACATCTTTTATTTAATTAAAATACCAAGAAAAGCACCTTCAGTGCATAACGTAAGTTCTGAGTGTGTGTAATTGTGTGTGTTTTCTGAGGGGCCTGAACCAACAAGGCTGTGGGAAGACTCATCTCACATGTCCCAATAATGGCGGTGGCAACGTTTGGGGCATGAAACGCTTCAACACATGGACTAACACTTCTATTAGGGTTCACGAATTAGGGAGAGGTTGATAGAGATACAATAGTTGCTAATAAGCTTCACTTAAAACCAAGCATGAGACAAAAGACCCGATCGATTAAGGCTGAGCGGGTGAAGCAAGTCGGTCGACTAGGAATCCGAAAAAAAACTGTATCACTGGGAAGTTGGAGGTCGAAATGGAGAAAACAAAGACGGAGAAATAAATTAGAAGGAAGGTAGAAGAAGGTTGGAGAACGGTTTCTTGCATCTGATTGGTGAGGCAAGGCGGTGGATGATAATAAGGGAGGTAAGTGTAACATTTAAAAAATTTTGTGGCAAATGTTTAAAACCCATAGAAATTAGTGGTAGAAATCAAAATCCCAAATTCACCAACTTTTTAACAATTAATAGTATATATAATACTCTTAAAATGAAACAAAGTGTAATAATCTTATACAATTAAATATAAATATATTTTAATACTTACACTTTCTTTATTTGAAACAAAAATATCAATGAAGTTTATAATTTATTAATCTCCATCTAACAAAATAATAAATATTTATTATATGAATTTACTATAGTGCCCATGTTTTCGCACTAAGTACACTCCAATAAAATTTCTTTTATTTACAACTTTATAAAACATTTTGGTGTACACTAGCATACTAGAATACAAGAAGTTATCATCAGAAATCGTATTTTCGTCAAGTACATGATCTGAGTCAGGTACTACAACAACCTAATCTGCAACACAACAATAGCGAACATTGTAAGTCATAAGGCTTAATGAACAACAACTACAATAACATAACAACATGTAGCATCGTTTGCATATTTAACTTATCACCTAATATATATGTCACATCTAATATGCTAATTAAATTATACTAACTGATTATTGTTTCCTGACGTGGTAACACCACATGAAACCTACTAGTATCAT